AAATCACTAGAAAACAGAAACGGAAAAAAGGCCTGTTGTTTCATATTCTGAGACCGGATGTTGTCATTTACAGGACGGTGCTGTGGAGAAGAAACAGTAGGCTAGTAGACTGCGGTCAATCCAGCCGTGAGTCCGATCTCCGTGGTCAAATCAGCCGCACTTAAATTCAGAGTGTACAAGTATTCTCAGCATTATGGTAAATGCGGAGAAACAGCGTATTTACTTCCGGTTTTCAAAATAAAGGTATTTAGAACAGTAAGCTATAATTAAAATATGTTACATTAAAGTGTTTCATGCGCCCCTGATGAATAAAAAAAAACTTTATATCAAGTATCTTTACTGCACCAGTGTGGAGAAATGCCGAAATAAAAGCCTCATATTTATGCCTCCAGAGATTGCATATTTGACCATATTTGAGGTACTGTAAAAACATATTGCTCAGTGTTTCCTGGCTATGGGTGAAGCATTTTCATTATACTTCAATAATGCTGCAGTAATCATGACAAAATTTCACACAAATGTTTAATAACATCTTGATAATATAAACACTAAACACTAAACACAAAATCCTACACAATTCTAATTTGTTTACTTTTCACACAAAATGCAATGCCAGTCCACATTCTTCTTATTTTGCAGCTCTGCTGTGTCCATTTGTAGGTAAAAGGGAAAAATAATTAGTTTTAACTTCAAAACACCATTGTACCTACTGTCTCTTCCTCACATATTATTTTTTATATTATTCAGTGTGACAGCTGTTGCAGGTGGTTCCACATACAGTTTACATTTTTACAGTAGCTCAAATATAAGAAAATATGGAATCTGGAAGTATAAATATGGGACTTTTATTCTTCAATTTCTCCACATTGGTACAGTAAAAATGCTTGATATTAAGTATACTTGTAGTCTCATATGTGTAAAAGTCAAATATACCATCAGTAGCCAGGAAACACTGAGCAATATGTTTTTACAGTACCTCAAATATGGTCAAATGTGCAATCTCTGGAGGCATAAATATGAGACTTTTATTTTGGCATTTCTCCACACTGGTGCAGTAAAGATACTTGATATAAAGTGTTTTTTTATTCATCAGGGGCGCATGAAACACTTTAATGTAACATAGCCTATTTTAATTATAGCGTACTGTTCTAAATACCTTTATTTTGAAAACCGGAAGTAAATACGCTGTTTCTCCGCATTTACCATAATGCTGAGATTACTTGTACACTCTAAATTTAAGTGCGGCTGATTTGTCCACGGAGATCGGACTCACGGCTGGATTGACCGCAGTCTACTAGCCTACTGTTTCTTCTACACAGCACCGTCCTGTAAATGACAACATCCGGTCTCAGAATATGAAACAACAGGCCTTTTTTCTGTTTCTGTTTTCTGTTTTCTAGTGATTTTATTTTTTGTTATATGAAATAGAAAATGAAAATCGAATCATTTTTTTAATTTCGCTCATCCCTTTTTGACCATGAAAAAGAAAAACGCCTTGTATTTCAATTTTCATTTTTGTATTTTAAAACGAAAATCAAATAACCACTCGTTTTCTGTTTTTTAATACCCGTTTCTGAAAGGAAAAACCAATGACCAAAACATACACGGACCATACACGGACCTCAAAGGCACTACCAGTAGTGAATGCGGGTTATGTTTGACCCATGGTCCGTGTATGTTTTGGTCATTGGATTTTCCTTTCAGAAACGGGAATTAAAAAACAGAAAACGAGTGGTTATTTGATTTTCGTTTTAAAATACAAAAATTAAAAATGAAATACAAGGCGTTTTTCTTTTTCATGGTCAGAAAGGGATGAGCGAAATTAAAAAATGATTCGATTTTCATTTTCTATTTCATATAACAAAAAATAAAATCACTAGAAAACAGAAACAGAAAAAAGGCCTGTTTTTTCATATTCTGAGACCGGATGTTGTCATTTACAGGACCGTGCTGTGTAGAAGAAACAGTAGACTAGTAGACTGCGGTCAATCCAGCCGTGAGTCCGATCTCCGTGGTCAAATCAGCCGCACTTAAATTTAGTGTACAAGTATTCTCAGCATTATGGTAAATGCGGAGAAACAGCGTATTTACTTCCGGTTTTCAAAATAAAGGTATTTAGAACAGTAAGCTATAATTAAAATATGTTACATTAAAGTGTTTCATGCGCCCCTGGTGAATAAAAAAACACTTTATATCAAGTATCTTTACTGCACCACTGTGGAGAAATGCCAAAATAAAAGTCTCATATTTATGCCTCCAGAGAGCATATTTGACCATATTTGAGGTACTGTAAAAACATATTGCTCAGTGTTTCCTGGCTACTGATGGTATATTTGACTTTTACACATATAATACTACAAGCATACTTAATATCAAGCATTTTTACTGTACCAATTTGGAGAAATTCAACAATAAAAGTCCCATATGTATACCTCCAAGTGGCATATTTTCATATATTTGAGCTACTGTAAAAACACTTGGCTCAATAATTCCTGGCTATGGATGGTATATCTTACTTCTACACATCTAAGACTACAAGTATACTTAATATCAAGCATTTTTACTGTACCAATGTGGAGAAATTAAAGAATTAAAGTCCCATATTTATACCTCCAGATTCCATATTTTCTTATATTTGAGCTACTGTAAAAATATAAACTGCATGTGGAACCACCTGCAACAGCTGTCACACTAAATAATATAAAAAATAATATGTGAGGAAGAGACAGTAGGTACAATGGTGTTTTGAAGTTAAAACTAATTCTTTTTCCCTTTTACCTACAAATGGACACAGCAGAGCAGCAAAATAAGAAGAATGTGGACTGGCATTGCATTTTGTGTGAAAAGTAAACAAATTAGAATTGTGTAGGATTTTGTGTTTCGTGTTTAGTGTTTATATTATCAAGATGTTATTAAACATTTGTGTGAAATTTTGTCATGCATTACTGCAGCATTATTGAAGTATAATGAAAATGCTTCACCCATAGCCTGGAAATATTGAGCAATATGTTTTTACAGTAGCTCAAAAATAAGAAAATATGCCACATGGAGGTACAAATATGGACTTTCATTGTTGAATTTCTCCAAATTGGTACAATAAAAATGCTTGATATTAAGTATACTTGTAGTCTTAGATGTGTAGAAGTCAAATATACCATCAGTAGCCAGGAAACACTGAGCAATATGTTTTTACCTCAAATATGGTCAAATATGCAATCTCTGGAGGCATAAATATGAGACCTTTATTTTGGCATTTCTCCACAGTGGTGCAGTAAAGATACTTGATATAAAGTGTTTTTTTATTCACCAGGGGCACACAACACTTTAATGTAACAAATTTTAATTATAGCTTACTGTTCTAAATACCTTTATTTTGAAAACCGGCGGTAAATACGCTGTTTCTCCGCATTTACCATAATGCTGAGAATACTTGTACACTGTAAATTTAAGTGCGGCTGATTTGACCACGGAGATCGGACTCACGGCTGGATTGACCGCAGTCTACTAGTCTACTGTTTCTTCTACACAGCACCGTCCTGTAAATGACAACATCCGGTCTCAGAATATGAAACAACAGGCCTTTTTTCTGTTTCTGTTTTCTAGTGATTTTATTTTTTGTTATATGAAATAGAAAATGAAAATCGAATATTTTTTTAAATTTCGCTCATCCCTTTCTGACCATGAAAAAGAAAAACGCCTTGTATTTCAATTTTAATTTTTTGTATTTTAAAACGAAAATCAAATAACCACTCGTTTTCTGTTTTTTAATTCCCGTTTCTGAAAGGAAAATCCAATGACCAAAACATACACGGACCGACCCATGTAGCGGGGCAGTGATAATTGAAATTATTCCTACAAAGTAAAAACGAAAAGAAAAATCAAAATCCGGGTTTGTGAAAATCAAAAACAAGTTGATTGGGCAGTACCTGGAATACTGAATGATGAAATTAATTTATTGCAAAGATACAGAAAATACAAACTCAGCCGGGTTACTTTTGACCCATGTTTGTGAAAGGGTTAATCGAGGTGCCATACTATTTGAGTTGACAAAAAACAGTAGAAAGCCATGTTTTTCATTTACCCAGAATGATAGCATTACAAGAATTATTGGCAAGGAAACATTAATCTCCACCCCACAAACCACAAGATACAACATCGCATCATATACAGTAATCTGCACAACTATGCATTTTCATCTTCATAAAACTTGTTGCTTCAACTCTTTTACATGTTTGCCCCCAGAATTTGCTGGTTTTTAGTGGAAGCTATTCTTCTTCTTCTTCTTCTTCTTCTTCTTCTTCTTCTTCTGCAGTGTTTCCTGACTGTAACATAACCCCAAAGTATGATAGAACGGCCACCATGCTTAACAGTTGGGGAGGTGGGTTTTTCATTAAACGCTGCTCCTTTTTTCTCCAAACACCCCTTTACTAATTGTGGCCAACGAGTTCTATTTTAACTTCATCAGTCCACAGCACTTGTTTCCAAAACATTAGATTTTATGATGTGGATGCAGGTAAGGTTTTCTTCTACTGACTCTTCCATAAAGGTTTTGTTAGCATCAGTAGCTCTGGGCAGTGGAACTCCAGAGTCTGCTAAATCTTCCTGCAGTTTTTATTTTATTTTGCAGGGTTTTGATTTGCCTTTCTGACCAGCATACGGGCAGTTATCTCCGAGAGCTTTCTTAGTCTTCCAGATCTCATCTTGACCTCTGCAGTTCCCCTAAACTGTCATTTCTTAATTACATTTCACACTGCGGAAACTGCAAGCTGACCACGCTTTGCTGTCTCTTGTAGCCTTCTTCTGCATGGTGGGCATCAAGATGCATCAATAACTTTCATTTTCAGAGTCTTACACAGCTGCTTAGAGGAACCCATGGTTGGTGAGTGTTTGTAAAGCTTTGAAATTGGCACCAAGTGACACTTCCTAATCACAATTGTTGACATGCCTCAGGCCTAGGGAGGTCTGAGACCTTGTAAAAATAATGTGAGACTGCAGAACTCTTAGGTTGGTCAAACTTTTGCACATGCCACATTAGTATTTTTATTTTTGTTCAATTTGTGAAATAAAATGAAACAATGCATTGATGTTTGCTGCAAATATACTCTCAAGAGACTGTGTTCACATCTTTAAAAAAATAAAATAAAAATCAGTAAAATGTGTTATTTGTCGAGGTGTGGCCAAACATTTGCATATAACTGTATATCTACCCAAAATAGGTGTAAATACAGTGAGAATGAGAAATTACTGTAAATAGTGTTTACTGTCTTAATTACAAAAGTCACAAGCATGGTCTATAATGTAAATCTTTCCAACACTTTCTTTATAGCTTAAATTCAATATAAAATTGTGAACAACGTAGAAGTGAACATACAGCATGATGTGTGTGTGTCTGCTGTTATGTTTCAACCTTTTTTTTTATCATCAGTCGGATACTGAGGTATTGAATTTGCAACTAGTTGTGCTCCACGAATAAACTTGAACAAACTAATTTGCTTTTTAAGTCCCAGAGAATCCAGGGAACGCGAGCTCACACTAGGGGGCAGTATGGCAGCTTACATGTACATCTTAGAAAAGCAAGAAAATGAAGGCTGCAGAGTTTACCATAAAAATCATTTTTTTTCTGTGTTCTATACTTTACAAAAAAACAAAACATAGATGATGTGTAGGAAGTGTAAGTAAGCTATAATTGATGCTGAGGCATCCTTAAACCCAAAACAAAGAAAAGCAAGAGTGATTAAGCAGAGTTGAAGAACCCCATGCTATAAAACATGAACATTTCATCTTGTATAAATCATACAGGGGACCAAGATTTAAATCCACTTATTTGATATTTCTTTAAACCCTTCATTTTTACTTTATGACTATATGATAGGCCATAACATATACCATTGTCCTGGATATCATTGACTTGACATCACTGTCCACCATTGGGCCGCACTTCTGCATAGTTCTTGACCACCTGAGAGATCCTGACGAGTTTAATGTCTGCTGGTATCTTATCATAGTCTGACCACAGGTACTCTGGAGATAGCACCTTGGTTGGTTTGTTGTACAACAGGTACCTGCATGACAGAGAGACAGGGAGATTAACTATGCATCTCAGGAATACTGTAGATAAGATGTAAATTGTCCTCTTACAGAAGAAAAGAAACTTAAATCTAATCAACTGAAGTAGTTCAAGAAAAAAAGGAAATAGAAAAGCCTGTAAATAGAAAGAAATTAAGATGTTCTTAATCTATATAGCAGGTTGGATTCTATTCAAATTTTTACAAAAAAGGTGAAGTAGGAAAAGCACTGAAAATGAGCGAATGAATTGTGGTACTGTACTTGTTGAGGTGACTCTCTTCCTGCCACACAGCTTCAATGTTGTTCTTGGAGTCCTCCTCTGATTGTGTGTAGCAGTATCTGAAAAAATAAGTCATGTTAAGTTAAATGAGTAAAATTTAGTAATGAAACAAACAAAACTTTGTAGCATTCATCTAAAAATGGGCTTGCTGAACCGTCAGCTTTGGACAAAAAAAATAGTGTAGTGACTACGCTGTTTTTACCAGTCCAGTATCTAAATGCCCACCACATTGTCAGCTCTTGCTTTGTCCAATCATTACCATCTCTTTGCGTGGGACATTGACCTTTAGCATGAAAGTAACTTAAAAGATAATTTGATTTTGGTTACTTGACTAGCTTGTACATGTCCTCCAGGTATCCACCCCAGACAGCAGCAGTGTAGTAGTAGTCTCCTTCACCAATAGGAATGTAGGCCTTGGACTTGGGCCGACGCTCATATGGAAAGACATCCCTTTTTGTATTCTGTGAAAGAAAAAGAAAATAAGGATTACCAGTGATGAGAGGCTATAGCTGATACCTGTGAGGCCAGTTAATACTATGACTGACTATAAAATGAGGCAATATCATTCAAAAAATAACTGTTGTATCCTTATAGGTGAATTAATGAAAACATACAATGTAAGGACAAAACAAATCTTAAAATACATCACATTACAAAATAATTAAGATAAAATAAGTAAAAACCTCCATAAAGTTGAAATGAATATACTGTAGGAAAAAGAGTAAAACCTTGTAGTAGCCACGGTGAAGCACAGCCGACAGCCGACTGAGGGACTCGGCCCCAAAACGGTTGTGGAAGACACTGTCAATGTCCATCATAAAAAGATAGTCTGCTTCATCACGAATCTGAAAGCATTACAGATGAGATGTGAGACTACCGGTACATGCATCATGGAGAGACTCAATTGGATAAAATAATATGTGATTAAACAACATAACCAATAAAAAAATAAAACAGTATTCTATTTTTATGCAGCTGGTGATGAATCATTTTTTTGGGTCTTGTTTGAAACACATGTTGTTGACTAACAAGTAAAAAACTGAACAGCAAGGATTTTACATCAGTTGTTGTAACCAAATGAAAAAGCCAAAGCTGTCTTGTTACTGTCAATGGTTTCACTTCTTACCCTTTTTTCAATGGTGATGGTGGCCCATTTCATCCTGCCAAGTACTACTTCCTGCCAGCGGGTGGCACTGGGGATATTGACCACTGATATCTTCCGGCCCTTACCCAGTTGAATCTGTCCAGTCAAATAAATAAAATTGAACACTGATGTCTTGCCTTTGTCACAACCCCACCTTGTTCCTAACAAACATTATGTTGCTGTCTTGTTTATCTAAATAACCAGATCTCTGAGAATTATGCTGGCAGCACTTTTATTCTACTCTGACTGTCTGTGTGTCGTGCCCCCGGGTTCGAGTCTGTTCCTGCGACATAAACTTTGGTTAGTTTGGTGCGTTTGTAGTCAAAACAAAGTGGAGAAAAATGTTATATAAAAATATTACCAATTAATCCAAATTAAAAATGAATACTTTCTTATAGTCATTGTGCTATTTTTCTTTCTAATACTTGGTTGTTACAGCCTTAGTAAATCTCTCTCTCAACCAGCAACTTAACAGTGTTGTATTAGGCCTGCCAGTTCTTGTCTGAACCTTTAATTAAGATTATCAGTTACACCTGCTGTGAAAAGTATTGTTATTCATGTAGTGTAATAATGAAGAAACATTACGTTGCAGCATGTATTGTTAAATGTTCAGCTGTGTAGCAGTGCCAAGCACAAAGCTACTTTCATACATATTAATAAACAACAACTCACTTTGGGAACTTCTTGTTCATTGTCTGTGAAGATGTAGTAAGTGACTCTGAAGTCAACAAGAAAGTACTTTTCACCCGACTCCAGGAAGCCCTTCAAGAAACGTGTGTATCTGTTCGAATAGAAAGAAGGATGATCAGTTGATATAAGATATGAAAGACAAATAACATAAGACAAATAAAACAATATTGAAGATAATTTATTAAGGTTTACAAGATTTAAGATTTCAGCATGATGCAGTGGGTCAGGTCAAACCTCTCTCCTGCAATGTCCTGTGAGAATATGCTGTGTACTTACTTGCCAACAGCAAACACCACCACAGCAACTCTTGGGTCCATTATCTTATAAATAGCATCGATAACGACTGGATCAAAGGTTCCCTCCCAAACCAGAGGGGCATTCCAGTTTGTCACTGAGTTCACATCAGTGCGTCTGGGGAGAACAAAAACATTGTGATATCGAAGATCTTAGCATTAAACAATTACCCTCCATTATATGCTACATTCTTGTCTAATTGTAGCTTTTGTGCATGTTGTTTAGGTGTTGTGTAGGTTCTGTTTCATCGGAGGCGTCTCTCACCATGATACATTTGCAAAATAAACATTTCTCTACTCCTTTTTTCTTGCACAACTTGATGATTCTTTTGACCTCAAACATTACGTCCCAATCAGCCACACTCTCTGCATCGCTCTCTATTCTTCTCTCCAGCCCCTGCTCAATTCTCCCAGGCCATGTACTTTCCTCCAACTCCCTAGACCTGCCATCCTCAGACTCCTCCTCAGTCCTCAGACTTTCCCTCTTTTTCTAACCCCCTGAATGCACACACACCTATTCCCAGTTCTCATCAGTCCTGCTGTCACCTGAGCTTTTCCATCCATCTCCTCACCAGCCACTCACTACATATACCAGTGGAATACCTTTGTTCCTTCCTGCCAGATTACTAAGAATAATTTAGAATGTAGAAACTATAGTTTTTCCCATCTTTCAGGCCTTTGCCTTCCAGTCTTACTTATCTGTCTATAGGTTTTTACTTGGAATTCTGTTACCCGTTTCCCCAGCTCGTTTTACTGTCTGCCTGTTTTGGTCTTGTAAGCCTGGGGCCATTTTCACAAACATTGTGAATGTACTCAGAGAGCTCCTAACGCCTAACGAAACCGAACTAAGTGGTGTGCTTTGTCTGTCTGTCTGTCAAACTCTAGCAAGGAGTCCTAGCATAGTGATTAAGAACATTCTCAGAGCAACCTTTACTTTAGTGAGGAACATCTATGTTGAATAAATTGTAAGCCATTTAGTTTGAAAACACAGACATACTTGTACAGTAGCCTATTTAGATTGCTAAGTTTAGTTTCTATGCTTCAGACCCTCGCATTCTCCTTAACTCATGTCTACATTGTGTTACCTGTTTTACCTGCCTCACTGCTTGTCTTACTGTCAGCATGATTTGTACTTGTGGCCATTTTCCAAAAAAATTTGAATGTTCTCTGAGAGCTCATAACTTAGCCAAACAAGTGTGCAGGAGAAACTATGGTGGCCAGGAAACTCGCAAAAAATGCAAGAGATACTATCTTTTTGCCCCAGAACTCAGGACAGTGTGTAACTGTGTTAGAGTGACTCTCAAATAGGGATAAAGGGACATTGCCTACGACGTTTCACTCGTTTGAGCCTTAACATATTGGTGTATGTGAGTGTTAGTGAGGCCATTTATAGGTGCTGAATAAACTTTACAGGAAGACAAGATCATATCACCATCACCAGCACAAGACCTTGTCTACAGTGTTTGGTTTCGCTGTTCTTGGCTTCAACATGGCGGCTGTGGCTCAGAGGCAGAGCGGGTCATTCCCTAATCGGAAGGTTGTGGGTTTGATCCCTGGCTCTTGGTGCCACATGTCAAAGTATCCTTGAGGAAGATACTGAACCCCAAATTGCTCCTGAATACCATGCATTGGTGTGAGAAGGTGTATGAATGTTAGTTTCTGTTTGATGGACTTTGCCATCACTTAGTGAATGTGTGTGAAAGGGTGAATGTGGCACGTAGGTAACAAAAACACAATGATTCCTATATTCAGGTGATTATACACTAATAAAAAACTATGAATATTACATTCCATTTATGTCAAGGACACTTTCCATGGTTCTGAAACAGTGGAGGAGATTGATAGACAGACAGACAAAGCACGCCACTTAGTTTGGTTTCTTTTTGTGGCTGTAAATATGGCTTTTGTCACTAATTCCATTTCACCCTGGGGGAAACAGAGAGAGAGAGAGAGAGAGAGAGAGAGAGAGAGAGAGAGAGAGAGAGAGAGAGAGAGAGAACTGTAAGCCGCAGAAAGATGTTTCTGTGCCTGATATTATGCAAAGTAGCCTACGTGCTAGTGAAAAGAAATGTCTCATTGTGTTATTTTTTTTCATTTGTTTACATACTCACAGATCAGATGATAATGTTGATCTGAACTAAGCAGCGTGCATTGTCTCTCTATTAAAACCGTCCAATCCGTTTCAGAACCATGGAAAGACATTCATCAAACAATGAGCAAATAAACACGCAAAATTAACATACATTTATTATTAAGATTTAATTCAAGAACCTTAATGGATAAAAATAAAATAGCTATAACCTGTGACTCAAAAATGAAAAAGATTTTCTCCCAATGTCTCAAAGTTGACTTTCAGGAGAGCGCTTTTCTCCAACTCCCCAGACCAGCCATCCTCCAGTTGTCATATGTCCCCGCCCCCCGAAAGACAAAATGTCATTCACACCCTGCTTAGGAACTTCTTTTAAGGGCTTATCTGCTTTGTGAACAACTTTCATCTTTACCAGAATCTAGTCTTAAATACTAAGAAAATGTCATAATTCTAAAAAGTTTCTTAAAGTTTCAACACTAGGAGAAACTCTTTGTAGTAGGACACTTTATTAATACAACCCCAAGACTTTATTTTGTTGATAAATCATTGAACTGATCTTGTTTGCCAGCTGTCATGAGTCCCTTAAAACATGCGATAAGAGTGCCAAAGTCATGTAGGACTAATGTTTTAACAGCTTACCCTTGCTGTGTGCTTGGCTGAGCATATTTCAGTCTGGAAAAGAAGAAATCAAATTTAACTTTATTATTAAAAAGAGGAAATACAGGGTAAATACAGTACAAAGAGATACAGAAAACACATATAGTAAAACATTATATAAAATAAAGGCAGACAACAATTTTTATTAAAAGATACTATTCCAACGTATTGTCTATCCCAGGCAGGATACACCCGGGCAGCGTGGCACGTGCAAGAAGGACATTTTTTTTTCTGAAGCAAAAATGCTAACCTTGATAATATACAGATATTTGTGGGAGGCTTTTTGCCTTCAATCAATAGTTCAGCTCAAGGTAGACATAAACTGGGAAAGAGAGAGGGGATGACACGCAGCAAAAGGTTCACAGGTCGGACTTGAACCCATGGCTCCAGCAGCAAAGACTCTTGGTACATGATAGGCCATAGTGATGGGACGGTTGCAAACGATCTGGCTTCCCCCCCCTTTTTTTTCAGTTAAAGCTGCGTGATTGGTCAAGATGTGTGGCGGTGTCTGTGTATCTACACTGAAGGGGGGGAGGGGTTACAGACACACACGGCACAGTAAGCACACGAACAGGTGTGAGGGAGACGTGAGAGAGTGAGAGAACTTGGCGCTACATAGACAGAGACAACACACTGGAAAGGGGAGGAAAATTAGTGACAGGAAACGTACTAAAGTTTGGACACATTTTAATGTGATAGACAGTTCACAGGCAGAGTGTAGACTGTGCAAAGTTAAACATTTAATATCGAGCAGCTTTTTGTCTAATTGAGATCCATGTTGAGTATATTGATAAATACATATAAATAATAAACATTTGATATAATGTATGTATTTACATTAGTAATTAGTTTTACACATAATTTGGTAATAAATTAATTTAAGCAACAAAAAATCTGAGGAGCCACTTGGGAGCCGAGCCAAAGGAACCGGTTCTCTAAAAAGAGCCGGAATTCCCATCACTAGTAGGCCAGGTGAGTTACCAGGGAACCCAATGGGCCAAACAATTTAGTTTTGTGGTAATATCCAGGGAATTAGGTCTGGCAGTTAATGCAGCAGATGTGCAATATGTTTTCACAGAGTAACAACAAAAGGCCGGAAAATGCTTCTCCCTTTTCATATTCTTGTCATGTTGTACTTTTATGGTCGAGTGTAGATTGTTTATTAACAGGGCAAAGGTGTGAACCAGAGTCATGGGAAGTGTAAATGGAAAGTTGTATATGACCTAGCTGTTCCTCTTTGTAAGTCAAAAATAAAGTGGATACTCACCCATTTTGCATTTTTAGTTCTGTGATCTTCCATTTGTTGTTTGGGCACTCTTTCATCTCTACAACCTTCAGTGCATGTGTTAAATCGTTCACCTCTGGCTCAGGGTTAGCATCACATGGCTGGCAAAAGCTTAAAAGGAAACACACAATATTTATTAATAATATGACAATGTTTAACTCATAAAATGGATGATGAAATTAAAAAAAAGCTGTATGGTTTAATAAAATCCCATCTTTATTTCTGGGCGGTGACTGCAGCCATTGGAGTCTGAGTTTTAATTTGAATAGTTGGTAACACTTTATAATGAGTACACACTATTGAGCATTTGTTAAGCATGAATAAATAATGAAATCATCATTTATAACGCATGAATACACATTAGTATGTAGTTTATAAACACAGTTAAAAAAAATGTATTCATCATTGATAAGCACATTAGTTATGGATTAGTAAATACTGAATTCATCATTTATAAAGCATGTTTCTGCTGTAAATAGTCATTACTATGAGGTTTATAATCACAGTTATAAATGTTTTACTCTTCATTGTACTGTACATTTCTGCATGCACTTGCACATCCACTATTCAGACATGTATTAATGATTAGTGACTGTGTTAGCAGATGTTCTATAAAAACTCACAACAAATTATTTTTCTAATGATGGCCTATAAACAGTTATTAATGCAGGAATTCACAGTTACAAAGCACTTACTACTCGTTAATTTAGTATCGTGCGCGAGCTCATCTAAAGTGAGCACTATCTATGGCTTATTAAGCATTTACAAATGAGATATAAAGGCTGACAATGCCTCGAGAGATATAAAGGCTGACAAGCTCAACGTACATGTCCCAAACAGATAAGATCACAACAATAGCAAGTCTTCATAAACCACCCTTGTTCGTCTTCATACAATATGTTGGGGAGTTGCAGTAAATATCAATACAATATGTTCTATATCCCTTTGTGTTGTGTCTCTTCTTCGTCTGTTAAGATAACTGAACATTTTCTGAGTCTCGAGGCATTGCCAGCCTTTATATCTCATTTGTAAATGCTTAATAAGCCATGGATAGTGCTCACTTTAGATGAGCTCGCGCAAAATACTAAATTAACGAGTAGTAAGTGCTTTGTAACTGTGAATTCCTGCATTAATAACTGTTTATAGGCCATCACTAGAAAATTAATTTGTTGTGAGTTTTTGTAGAACATCTGCTAACACAGTCACTAATCATTAATACATGTCTGAATAGTGGATGTGCAAGTGCATGCAGAAATGTACAGTACAATGAAGAGTAAACCATTTATAACTGTGATTATAAACCACATAGTAATGACTATTTACAGCAGAATGATGCTTTATAAATGAAATTCAGTATTTACTAATCCATAACTAATGTGCTTATCAGTGATGAATAAAACATTTTTATCTGTGTTTATAAATTACATACTAATGTGTATTCATGCGTTATAAATGATGAATTCAGTATTTATTCATGCTTAACGAATGCTTAATAGTGTGTACTCATTATAAAGTGTTACCGTTAGGGTAATGCTCTGTTATAATTCATGCATTTGAATTGATACATTCTCTCTGTCCTACAGAAACCTTACCTGAAGGATGCGACATCATGTCCTGAGTAGATATAGATGGCCCTGTGAAGACACACAAATATAAGTAAACAATGTGTAAAACTAATACAGTGGTAGTTACAAGCTTTCCATATCGGAGTGTACTGATCAGTAATTAAACATGTTTTTTGTTGCTTTTGTAGTGTACAGTGGATTGATATTAGCATACTTATGTGGTGTTATGACAGTAGAAAAAAATATATATAAATCTGGTAACATGCTTTGATGTGTATTTACAATACATATTTGTGTTAAGTAAATGGTTCTTTATGTAGAAAGGTGACTTGTTAGAGGAGCAGTCTTCTGGAGCCCCAGAACTGATTAAATGCGTAGCTCAAGGTTATCAGTCAAAATCATGTGATCACATGCATAAATAATTATATTAGTTAAATAATAAAAAGTGCAATAAATAGCTTTATACTCAGGGCATTAAAAAACTCAAAAACTAATCTTCTATTTATCTTTTAGTAGCTCATGTTTTATTTCAACTTTTTAATTTTCCTATTTCCCATAATTCATTTATATTATTGCTGAACTATCAGTAATCAGTGACCCCTCTGATAATGTTTTACTGTCTTTTGTCAATTTAAGGGCTCCATATAGACTGCCATACAGCACAAAATGGAAATGGATATTAGGACCCCAGGGATGCAGATCAAATAATGCAGTTAGTTACTAGTGGGTTAGCCAAATTGAAATTGGGTCTCCAGCCAGGCGACTAAACTAAATAACCGTAACAGTAAACTAAACAATAGCAAAATATTGATGATAATTGAATAATCATCAATAACATTAACTGTGCATCTTGAAAATCCCTTAATTTTCAGTGCCTCTTTGTACCCAAGGCCTGACCAGAGATGGCTGCCTATTTGGATGCCATTAAGTCACTGAACTACCAAACGGTTGATTCGATCATTGGCACAAACTGTTCTCTCATCACCACATTTTACCTCAATGCAAAATAGATCATGGGTTTTATGTTTTCCTTCTATGATGCACCACATAACGGCCCTGATGGTAATCTTGTAAATGAGTTGTAAATGAGCCCGTATACACATTCCCCTTTGTGATCTGAACAACCCCACCATCATTTTCTTTATGTTCATAAGGAAAGACTGCTCTGGTGTGTTAAATGTGAGAGACAATCCACACCCAGAGTAAATTAATACATACAAATAAAACCTAAAAAACAAAGTAAGCTCAATTAAACCCAGTGTTAATAATATAGTCTGTGATTAATAATCAATGCTGTCTTTAGGCTACCATCCATGGCCATTTGACCGTCTTATGAATAATTTATATCTTTGGCAGAAATAAAATGACTTTCTAGTTGTATCTTTTAACAAGGCTCCAGTTTGGAACAAGTTAAGCAATTCAACTGATGATGAATCACATTCAACCACCATCACAGCTAATTTTCCACTAATTTTATAGGATCTCAACCAGCTCTATTTAGCTCAAAATAGGCTGCTACACTGGGTCTTCTTTGTCCATGCTGTTTTGGTACTATTGATATGTATAACATGGTTCCAAAAGAAGTTAACTACACTCCTGTTTGCTAGTGTTCATGAGGCCATGTTACTGGCTTTTTTCAGCTTCGGAATATACACGCCAAAAGCATACACATAAAAAACTTTACGTGGTTAAACATTGCTTAAATTTTCCTGTGCCAAACGAACTACTTTTTACGTGGGACATTCATTTACAGAGCTACTGCAGAACACTTCTTACAAAATCTGTTTCCTCATGCATTTATTCAAATGATTAAATGTAAAGTGTAAAGATAAACTGTGATACTATTATGAATTATTATTATTGTTTAATCCTGTAATAATCACTAATAATAATTCAATTATTCCATTACTTCACTTGCTTGATGTGTACCATAATAGATAAATAACTGTAACCGCCATGAAACGTTAGGTATAGAACTTCTTCATTCAAGTTTTATTTTAAAAAGAAAGAAAAAAAAGTAAAACGTACTCAGTTTATCTGAAGGACATTTACGGCTGTCTCTGTGCAAAGCTAACTATACCTTCAAATAGGGTGGGACCTGCTTTGAAAATGCAAGGAGTAGAAAAGTACAGATATTTGTGTAAAAATGTTATGAGAAAAATATGTAAAGCCTGAAAAAACTATTTAAGTACAGTAATGAAGTATTTGTACTTTGTTAATTCCCACCTCAGATCAAATTCTGCTTAGGGCCCCATAAATGTTTGGACCGGCCCTGACTTCCACTACTACATTTCTAACATATTTGGGATGCTCAACATTTCATGTGGTAGATAACTAGACTAAAATCTTATGATGGTAATTTTTTTACATTAAAGCCTTAAATAAATAGCCAAAAACTATAGGATATTTAAAAACAAACACTTTGCACTGTGTCTATAATATTTTGCTGCTGTCTGAGGTTTCTGTTCTGTCCTTTTGTAATAAACCTTGCAAGTCTATCGTGTATATAAATGCAACTGTTATTCTTACTGCAAAAAAATATCATCCTAAAAGAAAAAGAAACGGTTAGCAGACTAAAATAAGAGTCTTCAGAACCAGTCTTATTCAGAAACTTCATAGGCCTGAACCTTCCCATTATATAGGACTATGTGTGTGTATATAGATATACTGTATACCAAGTGTCACACTTGGAACTATAATATAAAGAAGTACAAAAGATAAAAGTCTTACCCCAGAACGACGAAAATAAAGGCAAAACTAACCAAAACATGGACCTTGGAGACGTTACGCAACATATCCCCCCTCTGGCTAATTGCAGACTATTGTCTGATCAAACTGTATTTGTAACTGCTGCAAAAAAGAGTCCAAATTGGAAGCTTATTTCCAATGTAATCCAGGCAGTGCACTGAGTACTTTTAACGCACAGGTGGAGTTTCTTCTTGTGCATGAAGTACAGTCATACAGGGTCTATACGAAGAGAGGGAGGGGGGAGGGAGCTGAATGTTGGACTGACATCATCACCGTCAGGTAGCTGCATGAACGGCAGCTGAAGTCACTGAAGCTGCAAGATTGAATAATGTGCGCAATTATAACCACGCAGATACTCTGCAGCTTGTCAGAGCACCCGCTTCTTTAAATTGGTGTTCAGGAAACCAATGATCACACTCAACTCAACAAAGTGTGAGACCAAGAGAAGATATCAGAGATGTAAATTATATTTATAACAGTTTCACAGTTGCACTATACCTACATGTCACGCTAGTACAGGCAAACACGTGAACGGGATTTGCGTCAAAACCACACCCCATATCCATTTCTTATGATTAACCTTCTGGTCGCCGCATACTGTCACATTTCTTTACCAACGTTAATATTCTTAGTGATACGATTCAATAGCGTTTAAAATGATTATATTATGTTCTTTTAAGTGTGACTATGTAACATTATGTAACATTTCAGGTTCAAAATAGCAAGCAGGTAAAACTTTATTTAAATTTCGTTCCAGGTGGAATCACAAGACATAGAATTAAGTGAACACAATTAAAACGGACACATAAATAATACAATAAAAAAAGTTTAAAAAATAATTAAATGAAATTAAATAACCCGTAAATATGAATGACATACAAATCAAAACAAGTAGGAATGGAATAAACTGCTGTATAAAATAACTAATAATTAAAAACAAACGGCTTGCCAGTAAAAAATAAAAGACACGCAAGTTAAAACCAATAAAATAGGTTAAGATAAAATAAAATAAAATAAAATAAAATAAACCAGAGGAGTGAAAGGCGGAGGTTTATTTTGAAAGACAATAGCGTTGGGACCCACCTATCATGATTTGATAAGCTCAATGCAGTTTCACCTGTTTCCGTCGAGACCCCTGGAATAACCAGACGGTCTGGTCTACATGAAAGAAGGCGTCGGATCATAAATATTTACAATCTCAAAGGAACTACTATAAAGCTAAACTAGCTATGTTAACACCCTAAGTTAAACTGGAGCTCCAGAGAGAACAGGAGAACAAACACATTTACAAACTGCAGGAACACCCTCAGTAAGCAGAGATCGGAGAGAGTGACATGGACGGTCCAACACCTACTAATTGTCTCATAATGAGACTCATTATAATAACGTACAACACATAGCCTATTAACCCGTTTCGTCTAGTTTTGGCAGGGGGCGGGTAACTCACCCCACTGGTTCACCTCTTTCATTAAATTGTGTAAGCGCCACCTCACTGGTTTCGTCTGCTCTTTATCAGAGAACAAAATGAGTGTGGGCCGTGACACCTGGCTGTTAACAGTGCGCCACGCAGGCAAACACACACTCAACACAGCAACTGTTCCCCCCTCTTCAAGCCGCTGGCGAAATGAAACGACTGAGCATCCTGGAAAACACGGTGCCTATAATTAAAAACAAAAACAAAAAACGTTTTGCCTTAGCTGAACATAACAGTGACATTATAACAGTAACGGACTGGTTAATATGTTCAGAATCAGAAATACTTTATTGATCCCCGGGGGGAAATGTGTTCGTTACAGTTGTTCTACTCATACAACGTTAAAATAATAGTACTTACATATAATATCTAACACAATATATAGAAATGAATGTATAGGTATATAAATATAGTGAAAATCTAAATAAAAATGGAAATAGAAATATAATAAGAGCCTAAAAGATATAATAAGAGCCTTTATACAAATTAAATGTAAATCTAAACATAAATGTAAACGTATTCCACCGTATTCCTGAAAGAAATTAAATAAATAATAATGAGTTTTAAGATTGTGGTGTTGCAGAAGTTATAGATAATTACAAAAAATGACATAATAATCAAGTGAATTGCACGTTGATCCGGGTATTGCACAATAATCGACTTATTGCACGTCATCAGCACCAGTTTCTTGACACTCTGAGGGAGGAGTTAAAGAGTTTGATGGTGCATCTCGACGGGAAGAGTCTTGCAAATCCACCACGCATAAACTAAATAATTGAATGATGAGATTTAATTAATGAGAATTGCCAATAACACTAACATTCACGCTAGTGTCGAAACAATGCCGTTTTGGTAAATTATCAGAATCAGAATCACTTTATTGGCCAGGTATGTGCACACACAAGGAATTTGACTCCGGTTTTACCTTGATCTCAATGTACAAACACAGAATAACAGCATCAATACACAGAACAAGTTCAACTAAATAGACATAGACTAATATGTACAGTTATACATGTATATAAACAAACACAAAACAAGAGTAGACACTAGACAAATTATGTGAGTCTGTGGTCCATACAGTAGATTATTAGTTTATTGTGGTGGCCTAGAGCATTCTTAACCTATTTAAATGTTCTATGTAAAGTGTAGTGATCCTGATGTATGCCATCCCTTTCACATGACACAATGATGCTTTTATTTTTGTTCGATTTCTGAAATAAAATGAAACAATGCATCCATTCCATAGAATTCCTCCATTCTCTGTATTATGCAAGCAGGTGAAGTTTTTCCAGGACTCCCACAACAGTCAGGTTTGTCAACACGAGTGGAGATGCTGGCGCAGTTGGCTGTGGAAGCTCATTGCTGACCGTTTTAAATAGACAATTAAATTGCTTGTTGGCCCAAGGCAGATGATAGCTGTTTTATGGCATACACGACATGCTGCAACATTAAACAGCAGAAAAAGCAGACAGCTTCAAACATTGCCATCAAACCTGATAAGCTACCAGGACCCGGATCTCTGTGTGGGGGTGAATGTTTGTCACTGTGATGGGTTGTGTATATGACCATGTGTTCAATTATTTATATACATAAATATCGAATGGCTCAGAGAAACAACACACTTGAACCAAAAAGTGTGACTAAAGGCAAGCAATGGTCAAAATGAGGAAAAGCAGTCAAACAGGCAAGGGGTTAGGTGGAGAATCATCCATCCAAGGGTCAATGGGGCAAGAGGTCAGACAGGCAAGAACAGGCTGGAAAGTGCAGATGCAAAGTAATTGAAGTTCAAGTTCTGCAGGAGATAGCATCTCAAATAATAATCATAACACAGGCTTATCTGTACATACCTCACTGTTTTTATTAGGCTGAGTAAGATTGATGTTGTGCTAATTTTCGTTATGTGCAGCAGCGTTGGTGTGGAGTCAAATGTACAACTCATAATTCAGTTTTATGCCACAGTTATGAAAAAAAATGGTATTGGTGTTCTTGGTTTTTCTGAATGAAATATGCTCTGTTAAACTACAACTTTTTAAACAAGTTTACATGAATTTGAGAATTGTGAATATGGTAAACAAAGCTGGCATTCTTTTTTTTTTTACACTTCTCTTATTTTGTTTTTTTGTACTTGAAATACCATCAATGTTTGATAAACATGTGCAGGAAATTGAAATAAAATTTTCTTTGGTTCTTCTTGCTGCACTGTAACCAGTACAAACAGCTACAATAGGCATATTGTGAAATAATTTCTTATCAAAGATCTGTCTGTGTTGTTTCCAAAACAGGCAGCCATAAGGTGGTTTTATTGAAAGATTCAATTAATTTATGCATCTTTAAGTTTTCCTTTAGTAACCTGGCAACAAGAGAACATGGTTAGGTACCATGAGTAAAAAAAAAACATTTTTGTAACTGTAAAAGCTGATATGTAAAAAC